TATGTTTGTCCTGTGCAACTGCAGTCCTTCAGCTGGGTAGTGAAATTCTTCCTTTTAATAAAAACGTTTAGCAAATACAACAACCAACTTTTTCCACGTTGCTCGTTCTATGTAAACTGAGATTCAATTGTGTTTGTGCTATACGGGTTCCTTGGGATGTCCTAAGGATGGTTAAGGTTAGGGTATGGGTTAAAAGTCTGGACGTCCCAATGATCCCTAATACCACGGACCCCAATTGACTCTCAGTTTACGTGCTGCTGCGTGTCCATAGTATGAGCAACGAGAAAATAGTCGGTGGTTGTACTCGCTAAAGGTTTTAATTAAAGTATGAATTTCAGCACCCCGCAGAAGGACCGCGTTGGCTATTCTGTCAGTGCATCATCAAAGCTGTGTGGTGTTATGTAAACCAGCGTGTTCAGAATTGACATTTTTACAAGAATCGACTGATGGTGACCAGTTATCAAAACTCGATTCCGCATTGATATACAGTGCATTCGGAAAGTATTCAGACCCCTTGACCATTTCCACATTTTGTTATGTTACAGCCTTATTCTAAAATGGATTAAATTATTTTTTCCCCCTCATCAATCTACACACAATACCCCATAATGACAAAGCAAAAACAGGTTTTTAGACATTTTTGCAAATGTATTAAAAATAAAAAACTGAAATATTACATTTACATAACTATTCTGACCTTTTACTCAGTATTTTTTTATTTATTTTTTATTTATTTGTTTGGTCATTTAGCAGACGCTCTTATCCAGAGCGACTTACAGTTGTTGAAGCACCTTTGGCAGCAATTACAGCATCGAGTCTTCTAGGGTATAACACTACAAGCTTGGAGTTTCTCCCATTCTTCTCTGCAGATCCTCTCAAGCTCTGTCAGGTTGGATGGGGAGCGTCGCTGCACAGCTGCACAGCTATTTTCAGGTCTCTCCAGAGATGTTAGATCGGGTTCAAGTCCAGACTCTGGCTGGGCCACTCAAGGACATTCAGAGACTTGTCCCAAAGCCACTCCTGTGTTGTCTTGGCTGTGTGCTTAAGGTCATTGTCCTGTTGGAAGATTAACATATCTTACCCGTGTCAACCTGTGTCAACCTCATTCCCCTTGACACATTTCATGTTTTGTCAATATTTCAGTCACACATTCCATGCACAGATGCATTGCAAAATATACTGAACAAAAATATGGATGCAAAATGCAACAATTTCAAAGATTTTACTGAGTTACAGTTCATATAAGGAAATCAATCAATTGAAATAAATGTATTAGGCCCTAATCTATGGATTTCACATAACTGGGAATACAGATATTGCAACTGCTTGGCCTCCGACCACAAGGCACTACAGAGGGTAATGCGTACGGCCCAGTACATCACTGGGGCAAAGCTTCCTGCCATCCAGGACCTCTATACCAGGCGGTGTCAGAGGAAGGCCCTCAAAATTGTCAAAGACTCATTTTACATTTACATTTTAGTCATTTAGCAGACGCTCTTATCCAGAGCGACTTACATTTTAGTGAATACATATATTTATTTTATTTTTATACTGGCCCCCCGTGGGAATCAAACCCACAACCCTGGCGTTGCAAACGCCATGCTCTATCAACTGAGCTACATCCCTGCCGGCCATTCCCTCCCCTACCCTGGACGACGCTGGGCCAATTGTGCGCCGCCCATGAGTCTCCCGGTCGCGGCCGGCTGCGACAGAGCCTGGATTCGAACCAGGATCTCTAGTGGCACAGTTAGCACTGCGATGCAGTGCCTTAGACCACTGCGCCACTCAGGAGGCTGATTAGCTGACTCCAGCCACCCTAGTCATAGACTGTTCTCTCTGCTACCGCACGGCAAGCGGTACCGGAGTGCCAAGTCTAGGTCCAAAAGACTTCTCAACAGCTTCTACCCCCAAGCCATAAGACTCCTGAACAGCTAATCATGGCTACCCGGACTATTTGCACTGCCCCCCCCACCCCATCCTTTTTACGCTGCTGCTACTCTGTTAAGTATTTATGCATAGTCACTTTAACTCTACCCACATGTACATATTACCTCAACTACCTCAACTAGCCGGTGCCCCCACACATTGACTCTGCAACGGTACCCCCCTGTATATATAGCCTCCCTACTGTCACTTTATTTTACTTCTGCTCTTTTTTTTCTCAACACTTTTTTTGTTGTTGTTTTATTTTTACTTTTTTTGTTTAAAATAAATGCACTGTTGGTTAAGGGCTGTAAGTAAGCATTTCACTGTAATGTCTGCACCTGTTGTATTCGGCGCATGTGACCAATACAATTTGATTTGATTTGATCTGTTGGTCACAGATACCTTTAAAAAATGGGCCTCACAATGGGCCTCAGGATCTCATCACAGTATTTCTGTGCATTCAAATAGCCATCGATAAAATGCAATTGTGTTCATTTTCTGTAGCTTATGCCTGCCCATACCATAACCCCACCGCCACCATGGGGCACTCTGTTCACAACGTTGACATCAGCAAACCACTCGCCCACAGGATGCCAAACACGTGGTCTGCGGTTGTGAGGCCGGTTGGACATACTGTCAAATTCTCTAAAACAATGTTGGAGGCGGCTTATGGTAGAGAAATGAACATTCATTTCTCTGGCAACAGCTCTGGTGGACATTCCTGCAGTCAGCATGCCAATTGCAAGCTCCCTCAAAACTTGAGACATCTGTGGCACATTTTAGAGTGTCCTTTTATTGTCCCCAGCACAAGGTGCACCTGTGTAATGATCGTGCTGTTTAATCAGCTTCTTGATATTCTACATCTGTCAGGTGGCTGGATTATTTTGGCAAAGGATAAATGCTCACTAACAGGGATGTATACACATTTGTGCACAACATTTGACAGAAATACGTTTTTTGTGCGTATGGAACACTTCTGGGATCTTTTATTTCAGCTCATGAAACATGGCACCAACACTTTACGTGTTGCGTTTATACTTTTGTTCAGTGTAGCAACAAAGGTATGGTCTCTGGCGCTCGGGACCTGCAAGTCCCGCCCAGTTGCTTTAACGACTCCCACATAGCTCTGCATGATTGGTAAATCAAAGGTTCGTGCCTGGCGTTAGCTAATTTGTCGACCTCTTACATTTCTTTGAAGACGTGTTGACTTTGAGAGACAGCTGTTATAGCCAATCTCTTTACAATATTTTTGGTCTCGAACCTGCCCGCTCCAATCAGTGAAAGAATATAGTAGACTGACGCCCTATTTTGCTGCCTCACCGTAATCCGAAGGATTGGTTGCTAACAATTCCAGGACAAGAAACTGCTGTGGAGAACGCGGTTTGTTAAATATTTTGTTTACATTTTTTTAGGGTCGTGGTTAAAGTGAAATTATAAAGAGGTTGTTTGTTAGTTCATTTGCATTGTAATCGGTCAATGGGAATTCAATCACTTTTAGGCTCATTTGGGGACATGCCTCGTGAACTCTATCGCTAATATTAGCTACGCTAACTAACGGTAGCTAGCTATGCAGCTAACTTTAGCAATTGAGCCTAGTTAATTTAGCTAGATAACGGCTCATTTGCTTTCCCCTTCTTTGAGAAAACGTCAGCTAACATTAGCTAAGTAGCTACATGATTTGGAATCTAGTATGTGCTGCAAGTTTACTTATTCAGACAATCGTTAAACTAGGCCGCTTGCATACACTACAGCGCATGCATGTTAGCTACTTGCACAGATTAGTTGTTAGTTATCTAGCTAGCTGCTGGTGGCTAACTAATTTACGCAGCCAGGATGGTTAGCCAATGTGATGATAACTAACGTTACCTGGCTAACGTAACGCGTTAGTTAGTTAATACAGGTTAAGACGGCTAGCTAACCTTAGTCAGACAACTAAACCAACATGCTAACAGCTGACTAAAAAAATCTAGCTAGGCGTTAGCTAACGTTACTCTAAATGTGTTTGTGCAGAGGCAAGTAATGTTAGCTAGTTAGGCCTTCAAATAAAATGGTATTTGTCACATGCGTAGCGTCGAATACAACAGGTTTAGACCTTACAGTGAAATGTATATTTACAAGCCCTTAACCAACAATGCAGTTTTTAGAAAAATAAGTGTTAAGTAAAAAATAGATAAATAAAAAGAATTAAAGAGCAGCAGGATCTGAGGACCCATGCCAAATATTTTCAATAGGCTTTGTCGTGCCATCTTCACGACTGTCTTGGTTTGTTTGGACCATGATAGTTTGTTGGTGATGTGGACACCAAGGAACTTGAAGCTCGGTCCTCATTTTCTTGTAGTCCACAATCATCTTCTTTGTCTTGATCACGTTGAGGGAGGGAGAGGTTGTTTTCCTGGCACCACACGGCCAGGTCTCTGACCCCCTCCCTATAGGCTGTCTCATCGTTGTCGTTGTAGCAACACTGGAAATAATCTAGCTACTGTAAATAGCTAACGTTAATTTGACTAGATTACTTCCAGTGTTGACATGTGTAACATTAGCATGTTTTCTAGCTCACTAGTTACTACTAGCAGTTGTTAACATCTGCGTCAGTAGTTAGCGACTGTTCGCTAACTATCTAGCTAATGTCATCATCCAGTTCTTTGGTAATGCAACTCATTGGCCTGCAGGCATCCAGAAATATTTTGTAATAATATTTGAGGCAGAGCATACTACACCCACACCATAACTACCTAGCTAGCTAGTGGGTCACAATGACTAAAACTAACCACTACAATTTGTTGGGGGTACTATTTTAATTTGAGACCAGTTACCATGATTATGTCACGTGGTAACCACTTATCAGGGGCAGTGATTTGGGATATATTCCATTGAATTATAGTATACACTTTTGTGTATCCTGTGGCCAAGAATTAATAGGAATTTAAGTTGTAAATAGGGGCAAGGCAACAACAGGTTTGATTAGTGACTAGATTGGGTTGGTGAGGCTTTTATCATAGAGGTGAGTTTCCCTTGGTCTTGTCTGACACTGCCTCAGTGTCCTCAAAAGGCATAGCCTCATTTACATTGTTGCCTCCACAGAGAGGAGCCTGTTCGCATTTCACTGCTGGTGCAAGACAATGGAGACAGAAATCGAGCAGCAGGAAGAAGAGACCACTTTCAGCAACACTGACACTAACGGTAAGACGCGTAGGCTATTCTGTCAGTGCCTCATCAAAGCTGTGTGTAAGCCATGCAATTACCTTGATTAGACTAGACATATAAGACTGCTTTTCTCTAATAGCTGATATCAGTCTTTACAGAAGAGACTACAGGGATTGACATTAAGGGATGCCCTATTGCCTTGGGCAAGTGAACTAAACAATCAAACTTTAAAGAATTCCAGTAGCCTAAAACTGATCGTTCTGGTTCCTCCTGTTTGTTTAAGTAAAATACACACAGTTTATGGCACAGGCAAGTTAAGCCTGCTCTGGTATATTCTTTTTTCTGATAACAACCAAAATACAAAGAATTCTCCCCTATGTGTAGGTGAAAGGCAGGCAATATATGGCACTTCTGCATGTAAATGGCTAATTAATTTTCAGGCAAGTGATCATAATCTACAGGCAACCAAAAATTACTATTGACTTGCCTGATAGGCAGGTACTTTTCAGACTTTAATGTCAATCCCTGGACTACTGGTATAGCTACATGCTGGCACCATGTGTGCATGTCAGATGGCCATGGGTTTCTCTTGTCCAAGTCACTGTGGTATCAGGAGCAGTTCTGCTAGTTTTAATCCAGGAAGTGGACTGAACACATGCTGGGTGGATACTGTCGCCTGTCTTGGCTGGAACCAGTATTGGGCAGAGCATAGCATCAGGCTAACTCTCCAGGTTTCTCCCTCCAGGTAAACGACCTGCCGAGGACATGGAGGAGGAGCAGGCCTTCAAGCGCTCTCGCAACACTGACGAGATGGTGGAGCTGCGGGTACTGCTGCAGAGCAAAGTAAGCCTGCCAACAGAAATGGGATTTTAGGCCTATTCCTTTTAAATCAGGAATTCACGAATTTTTTTTATTGCATAAAATCAGCAATGCTATTTCTTACGTCTGTGTGTCATCGTCGATTGGTTGGTGTTTTTTTCTGGTGTTCTGAGTTTTGCTAATCACATCCCATCTTCCAAGTTTCATATAATTCAGCGGACTCTCAGACCAATTACTCTGTTCCTAAGGAAACCCTCTTGTTTCTCCTCAGAATGCTGGAGCTGTTATCGGAAAGGGTGGCAAGAATATAAAAGCCTTGCGCACAGACGTGAGTACAGAGTTGGCATCGTCAAATGCTTTCCTCGACTGGGGGATTTGCTGTAAAGCTATATTTATGTCCTTATAAACCCAACATTTTCATAGGCATTATGGAATCCAATTACCCCATTCTAATGACAACCCTTATGCGTCCTATTAAAGAAACGTGATCCCTGTACTAAATGGTTTCCCTTTAATATAGATAATTTCCCATCTATAGATTGTCATTCTGTTATCTGAATGTATTGTTTGACTTGAAGCAATTCCACGTTAACAGAATGATGCAGAGACTTTAAAATATGTCAAACAAAAACCAATGATTGGGAATTTAAACAAACCATACAACTCTATGCACATGTACTACTTTCAACAATTTCCACTTAACATTTGACAAAACACATTTACTTGAACAGTGCAGCTGCAAAGTTGAACAGAATGTTCTGTGCTGTTTGTGCCGTCATTCTGTTAACAAACTTTGCATCTGCACTGTTCTTCAAGTAAATGTTGCATGTCTGTGAAAACTGGGAGGGATAACTGCAGTGTTCTTATACAGAAGTCACAGATTCTCTCTTTCCCAAATGACACATCTATAGGTTGGCTCATGTGGACAGGCATGGTTTGGCTTGATTGGATCAGATTTGGGGTAGAGTATGGGTGGGACGTTTTTCTTGCGTTTCCGATAAAAGGGAACTATTCTTTACTAGGCTCTGAACGTGATTTCTAATGCCCTGAAGCTATACTGGACTGTGGCGGTGCCATAAAACCCCCTTAAACAGGTGTCTCAAAGCCTGAGCGGACCTATAGTCTATTACAGCCTATGTAGTAGCCATGCAGTCCATTTAGCTAAGTGTCTTTGCTAGAGCTGGCTTAGTCCAGCCGCCCTTTTTTCTTCTGCACTCACCATCTTTTTTTGGAAGCAGTATAGCGTGTATTCAATTAAAATGTATTCCTTCTCCCCCTCTTCCCTCTCCTTTACTTTGTTATTTTTGGCCACCTTCCTCCGTTGCCCATGTACTGGATCGACATGCCCCTCCTGCGTTGCCCACCTTGACGTTGGCCCAACCTCCGCCCCTGAACGCCCGCCCACCTGACACCCCGGTTGGCCCCGCCCCGCCCCGCCGCCCGCCCACAAACGTGCCCCTCCCTAAACGGGCACCTTACTTGACATCTTGTGATTGAATGCCCTTGCCCAATGCCAACCTCCACGGCCAATGCAGTACAATGCCAGTGTATCAGTCCCTGACAGCAGTGGCCCAGAGCGGTATGTCCCACCAGTTATTGCCTCACTGCCTGATTAGAACAGAGAAAAACACATGTCTTTGATAGCCTGCCTTCTGTTTCATTTGAACATTTTATACACATAGAACACCCCCTCCCCCTTTATCAAGAGACGTGTATTGTTCCATTTGAATTGTTCTGTCTCCTCCCCCTCTACCCTTCTTCCCCCACATTCAAGTATTTCCATTTAATTTGGACCTTTTTGTCACTAGAAATGAAATCACTTGTCCTGTATAGATGGAGAAAAAATTAATCCACTTTCAGTAGATCATATTAAATGGGAGGAGCCCAGTTGTTGGCTTCTGTTTCCTTGCTGTGGTATTTTTAATCGTGAACTGTGGAAAGCCAATGATCTTTCTCGCTCTGTCCTTGTGGTCCACCTTGCTGCGCCCCTCCCCCACCCCACTGTTCTCAACATCACTGTTCATGATCTCAGTGCTCAAGTGCCGCCTACTCTGTAACTCCTCACTGTTGTCTTTCTTTACCTTGTGGTACATCTCCACTGTTTGGTTTCTGTCCCCCGTTAGGTTCTCCCCCCATGTTTGTTTTCTCTCAGTACCCCCATCAGTCCAGATTGCCTGCCAAACCTCTCATTCCACCCTCGCTCCTGTCCGCCACCTAGTGGTTATCACTCACATCCCCCTGCTTTCTTTGTTTTTCTCTTCTACCTCTCCACCCTGTCGCTATAAGAAGGTGTGCCGGTGGCACGATTGTGATGTAAAGTTTTAAAAGTTTTTATTTTCTTTACCCTCAAGTGATGGTGATGGTTAAAATAAGTCCCCCCCCCCCCCCCCCCACCTACAGTGGCCAGCCTTGTGCCTCGCGTTGTAATCTAAAGCCGCTCCAAAGCGGCCCCATTCCAATCCTGAAGCCTCTCTTTTGTTGAATGTGAGAAGCATTTCAGTCCAGTGTTGGGAAAGTCCTCTTCCTTTTGTTTTTGTTTTTAAACGTTTACTTTTTAAAACTCTGTGCTTAAAGGAGTGTTAGTCTTGAAGTAAGTTTTTATTTTATTTTTGCTTTCTGTCCTCCCTCTGTTTTGCCTCGTTGCCTTTGGCCACATATTATTCCCTACCAGGATCCTGAGTGTGAGTGCAGATATCGAGACTATCGGAGAGATACTGCTGAAGATGATCCCTACTCTGGAAGAGGTGAGTGCCCGGCGGCATCCATAGATATACACATGTAGGTTTGTCTTTTTCTTAATCCTCAAAGTCAAGAGCTGAAGGCTGTATTTGACCTGACTGATCTGTACCTGTTTTTTCCTAGTACCAGCATTATAACGGGATTGATTTTGACTGCGAGCTGCGTTTGCTGATCCATCAGAGTTTGGCCGGAGGCATCATTGGGGTGAAAGGTACCAAGATAAAGGAGTTAAGAGAGGTAAGATGGGATCCTGGTGTCTAATGTACGCCACTGATTGACTCCGTCTATACTCATGTACAAGAAGAAGAAGAAGTGCATAGATTGCATGTTACTAAACTAAAGGGTTTTCTTTGTTGCCTACTTGTCCACAAATGGTTATGGGGAATGTATTGAAGATATAATTTAATGCTCAAAGCTGAAGAAGGGTCAAACCCATTTTGAACATACAGTGGGGGAAAAAAGTATTTAGTCAGCCACCAATTGTGCAAGTCCTCCCACTTAAAAAGATGAGAGGCCTGTAATTTTCATCATAGGTACACGTCAACTATGACAGACAAATTGAGGAGAAAAAAATCCAGAAAATCACATTGTAGGATTTTTAATGAATTTATTTGCAAATTATGGTGGAAAATAAGTATTTGGTCACCTACAAACAAGCAAGATTTCTGGCTCTCACAGACCTGTAACTTCTTCTTTAAGAGGCTCCTCTGTCCTCCACTCGTTACCTGTATTAATGGCACCTGTTTGAACTTATCAGTATAAAAGACACCTGTCCACAACCTCAAACAGTCACACTCCAAACTCCACTATGGCCAAGACCAAAGAGCTGTCAAAGGACACCAGAAACAAAATTGTAGACCTGCACCAGGCTGGGAAGACTGAATCTGCAATAGGTAAGCAGCTTGATTTGAAGAAATCAACTGTGGGAGCAATTATTAGGAAATGGAAGACATACTGATAATCTCCCTCGATCTGGGGCTCCACGCAAGATCTCACCCCGTGGGGTCAAAATGATCACAAGAACGGTGAGCAAAAATCCCAGAACCACACGGGGGGACCTAGTGAATGACCTGCAGAGAGCTGGGACCAAAGTAACAAAGCCTACCATCAGTAACACACTACGCCGCCAGGGACTCAAATCCTGCAGTGCCAGACGTGTCCCCCTGCTTAAGCCAGTACATGTCCAGGCCCGTCTGAAGTTTGCTAGAGTGCATTTGGATGATCCAGAAGAGGATTGGGAGAATGTCATATGGTCAGATGAAACCAAAATATAACTTTTTGGTAAAAACTCAACTCGTCGTGTTTGGAGGACAAAGAATGCTGAGTTGCATCCAAAGAACACCATACCTACTGTGAAGCATGGGGGTGGAAACATCATGCTTTGGGGCTGTTTTTCTGCAAAGGGACCAGGACGACTGATCCGTGTAAAGGAAAGAATGAATGGGGCCATGTATCGTGAGATTTTGAGTGAAAACCTCCTTCCATCAGCAAGGGCATTGAAGATGAAACGTGGCTGGGTCTTTCAGCATGACAATGATCCCAAACACACCGCCCGGGCAACGAAGGAGTGGCTTCGTAAGAAGCATTTCAAGGTCCTGGAGTGGCCTAGCCAGTCTCCAGATCTCAACCCCATAGAAAATCTTTGGAGGGAGTTGAAAGTCTGTGTTGCCCAGCGACAGCCCCAAAACATCACTGCTCTAGAGGAGATCTGCATGGAGGAATGGGCCAAAATACCAGCAACAGTGTGTGAAAACCTTGTGATGACTTACAGAAAACGTTTGACCTGTCATTTCCAACAAAGGGTATATAACAAAGTATTGAGCAACTTTAGTTATTGACCAAATACTTATTTTCCACCATAGTTTGCAAATAAATTCATTAAAAATCCTACAATGTGATTTTCTGGATTTTTTTCTCTCTCAATTTGTCTGTCATAGTTGACGTGTACCTATGATGAAAATTACAGGCCTCTCTCCTTTTTAAGTGGGAGAACTTGCACAATTGGTGGCTGACTAAATACTTTTTTCCCCCACTGTATGCCGTTGTTGTGGGCGTATTTCATGCTGGGCTTCCTGTCTCCACCAGAACACCCAGACTACCATCAAGCTGTTCCAGGAGTGCTGTCCTCACTCCACTGACCGTGTTGTTCTGGTTGGAGGAAAGCCAGACCGTGTCGTCGATTGCATCAAAGTTATCCTGGAGTTGGTATCTGAGGTGGGTGAGAGTTCGGGCTGTGACGGTCATGGAATTTTGGATGACTGTTATTGGTCAGCCAAATGACCGCGGTCTTCGTTTTAATAGTTTTAATAGCGTGTGTGTATTTTAAGATGCATATTTTCTCCTCTGCTCCTGACTGCACGTGCTGTGCTTCTGCAGGCAGGGTGCACATTTTGGTTTTTGCCCTAGCACTACGCAGCTGATTCAAATAACCAACTCATCAAGCTTTGATTATTTGAATCGGATGTGTAGTGCAAGGGCAAAAACCAAAATGTGTACCCAGGGGAAGGGCCCCAGGTCAGAGTTTGGAAACCCTAGCCTAGGCAACCAAAGACTCATTTGCTACAACACCTTGCTTGTTTCAGCAAGGAGCAACAAAGTTTCATCGTGTTGTAAAGTGTCCTTGTTACTGCGGAAACTGACTCAACCACACAAATGCATGGCCGCCCAGTGTTTATTTTTAAACCCAGACCGTAACGGTCTTCTATAATCGTTGGTAAAGCGATTATACGGTAATTGTGCCAGCCCTAGTGAGTTCAGTTCTGAGCTGGTGACAGCAACACACTTCACCACCAGTGTCTAAACATGGAAACTCAATGAAAGTCTGTCACTTAAACTAGAATTGTACTTGTTTAATAACCGCAGATGCTTTTTGTTTGTTTTATATATTCCATTTACAACAGCTGTTGACATTGTAGTTGTTCCAGAGCAAAAAAAAAAATCAAATAGCTACAGGTAACTGGCAAAAGAAAGGAAACCCAACGAGAAATTACATCATTTGGTGGTGGAAAACGCTGTGTCAGGTGCTGCTCCAGAATCTCCCATAAGTGTTAAATTGTGTGTCAGTCACACCCTTTAAACCCCCTATGCTCCTTTGAGACACCTCTTTCAAAGTCACTGAGATCTATTCTAGACATGGTACCCAAAATAATGGGCAACTTGGCATTTTTATACATGACCCTAAGCATGATGGGATGTTAATTGATTAATTAACTCAGGAACCACAGCTGTGTGGAAGCACCTGCTTTCAATATACTTAGTATCCCTCATTTACTGAAGTTATTCCTTTATTTTGGCAGTTACATTTAACATCTCATCAATAGTCTCATAGTATTATCTATCTTCAGGCTCCCATCAAAGGGCGCGCCCAGCCTTACGACCCCAACTTCTACGACGAGACATACGACTACGGCGGCTTCACCATGATGTTCGAGGAGCGGGGCCGTCGGCCCATGGGGGGGTTCCCCATACGGGGCCGGGGGGGCTTTGAGCGCATGCCCCCTGGCCGCGGGGCCCGACCCATGCCCCCCTCCAGACGGGACTATGACGACATGAGCCCTCGCCGGGGTCCACCCCCTCCCCTGCCAACCAGAGGAGGGCGTGGAGGGAGCCGGGCTCGAAACCTGCCCCTCCCCCTACCACCACCCTCAAGAGGAGGGTACGGAGCTTTACTTCCTTCTGTTCTTTCTTTCAATTATTGTTTGTTTATGGCTACCTCTTATCACCTCATCAGTCACTCAGTGATGTTTATAACCCTCTGCCTGAGTACATAGAACTAGAATGGACATGAACGTTCTGCTTTATGACGTAGCCCTTCTAGTAATTTAATAGGATCTCTGTGCCTAAGTGTTCCACAGCTGTCTCCCTGCTATTAGACCTGTATATACATCTCTGGGCTTTCTCTTATGTTGACTCAGTCATATGGACCCAAGTCATACTTTGTTGGACTAATCCTTTAAAGGAATCTTTTCTGACACATTTCCACTGAGTCACATTGACCCTGTCGTGTGTTTGTTTGCAGAGGGGACCGGTTCTCTCATCAGAGCTATCACGGCAACATGGACGACAGACCTAAGTAAGTCATTTGTGTCAAACAAAGGCAGCACCTGCTGAGTGGTTAGGGTAGAATTCCTTCACCTCTCCAAATCAGCATAGCCATTTGGAGAATGGCTTGCTCAGATGTGGCGATTAATATCTCTGTCAAATGTTGGGATTAATCGTTATCTGTTGATTTAATGACAGTCAATACGGTTCTACCAATGACACAGTAGTTATTTTGTAAACATGACCTCTCATCCCATGAGTAGATGACCATAAGAACACCATGTCAGTGTCTTCTTATCAACATGGATTTAAAAAACAATTTAGCTCTTCACACTCAGAAGGACTGGTATCACACTTGTATAGTACAGACTTGTCAGCCCATTGGTTTGGGGCCACTATCGGTCCATCAGAGGAGGTGAACTGAACCCTCTCGTGTCATGTTAACCCCGACACCCTCCCTCCCCTCTTATCTAAGCAGTGACAGAAGAGGAAGACCAGGAGACCGCTACGACAGCATGGTGAGTGTTTAGCATGGTAGAGTTACAGAGCTTCAGTCTGTTGCCTGGTGTTTTAATAGTAGGTAGGTCGACACGCATTTTAGATGGTAATGGTTTTAGTTACAGTGCATTCGGAAAGTATTCAGACCCTCATTTTTTTATAATAATAATATAATATGCCATTTAGCAGACGCTTTTATCCAAAGCGACTTACAGTCATGCGTGCATACATTTTTTTGTGTATGGGTGGTCCCGGGGATCGAACCCACTACCTTGGCGTTACAAGCGCCGTGCTCTACCAGCTGAGCTTCAGAGGACCATTTATGTTATAGCTTTAATCTCAAATTTATTAAATTGTTCCCCCCCCCCTCAATCCACACACAATACCCCATAATCACAATGCAAAAACAGGTTTTTATAAATGTTTGCACATTTACGTAAGTATTCAGACCCTTTATTCAGTACTTTGTTGAAGCACCTTTGGCAGCGATTACAGCCTCAAATCTTCTTGGGTATGACGCTACAAGCTTGGCACACCTGTATTTGGGGAGTTTCTTCCATTCTTCTCTGCAGATCCTCTCAAGCTCTGTCAGGTTGAATGGTGAGCGTCGCTGCACAGCTATTTTCAGGTCTCTCCAGAGATGTTGGATCGGGTTCAAGTCCGGGCTCTGGCTAGGCCACTCAAGGGCTCTCAGAGACTTGTCCCGAAGCCACTCCTGCGTTGTCTTGGCTGTGTGCTTAGGGTTGTTGTCCAGTTGGAAGGTGAAACTTTGCCCCAGTCTGAGGTCCTGAGCGCTCTGGAGCGCTGAAAAACATTGCCACAGCATGATGCTGCCACCACCATGCTTCACTGTAGGGATGGTGCCTGGTTTCCTCCAGAAGTGACGCTTGGCATTCAGGCCAAAGAGTTCGATCTTGGTTTCATCAGACCTGAGAGTCCTTTAGGTGCCTTTTGGCAAACTCCCCCGATGGTACAGTTTGGCCGGGCAGCCAGCTCTAGGAAGAGTCTAGGTGGGTCCAACTTCTTCCATTTAAGAATGATGGAGGCCACTGTGTTCTTGGACCTTCAATGCTGCAGAAATGTTTTGGTGCCTCGGCACAATCCTGTCTCTGAGCTCTACGGACAATTCCTTTGACCTTATGGCTTGGTTTTTGCTCTGACATGCACTGTCAACAGGTGTGTGTGCCTTTCCAAATCCTGTCCAGTCAATTGAATTTATCACAGGTGGACTCCAATCAAGTTGTAGAAACATCTCAAGGATGATCAATGGAAACAGGATGCACCTGAGCTCAATTTTGAGGCATTTCTGTTTTTTATATTTAATACATTTGCAACCATTTCTAAACCTGTTTTCGCTTCAATATGGGGTATTGTGTGTAGATTGAGGAAAAAAAATAATTTAATCCATTTTAGAATAAGGCTGTAATGTAACAAAATGTGGAGAAGGGGTCTGAATACTTTCCAAATGCACTGTATGTGTGTAAATGGATTGGGATTGTTATCCTGCCCTAGTGAAATCACGGTGGTTTGGACACTGGTGCTGCTCTTCACCGAGCGAACACACTGGTTAGGCCTATTGTTGCCTGGCAACAGTTGTCTCCTTGGTTACCAAGGAGCAGCTGAATACGTAATCTGGAGCCGCCAAACTAACAAATGAACTTCAGGTGAAACCAAAGCGATTCCCGTACAGGGTTGGTCGGGTCGTACCAATAACATTCATAGTAGAAAATGAATAAGGCAGCTAAGATTCATATGCACAAATTATAGAGCTCAATATCAAACAAATTTAAACCAGTATTTGACTTAATGAATGTTTCAGTCTTGTAATAAGTCTCTCAAGTTGACTTTCTCTCTTCCCTATGGTTTGCTGAATACAGAGTGGTGGATACGGGGGTGAGTCTTCTTCCTTCCGAGTTTCTTTTGGTCATGGTAGTCTCTACACTCTTGTTTGAATGTCTCTTAGGTTGGAGTATAGTCCTTTCTGTCCAGTAAGCACCAGCAGCTCTCCCCCTGTCCTTTGTTGGTCTGTGTTGAGTCTGTCTATGTAGTCGATCAGCCACAGTGTGATGTATTGGTATCCTTCCTTTTCCTTCCTTCATCTTTTCAAAGACAACAATTCCTCGTGGGAGCCCTTTCAGTCTGGTGAGTGCAAATGGATCACGTTTGTATCAATGTCTCATTTTGTTGCTTCCGTATTTGTTTTCGTGTAGTTTTGAGGACTTTCCACACAACAGAGGATAAATTCTGAGTATCTCTCTCTAGGTGGCCGAGGGTCATACAGTGACATCGGCGGTCCCGTCATCACGACTCAAGTTACCATCCCCAAGGATGTGAGTAAAGGTTTAATCAGCACAGTCCCAAGCATAATAACACCCTTTACCAGAGACACACAGACATCCTTGAAATATGTTCATGAGAAAAACCCAGATGAGATTCTTCCCAATTGATCATGAAGTTCCCACATCAGCCTTTATTCATACGTGATTGAAATTCATCTACCCCCCAAAACCCTGTGCCCCCCTTTACCTGGTTGTCATTGTGCCGATCACATTGTTGGGGAAAAGTAACCCTGGCTCCTCACTTGTCGTAGCTGGCCGGCTCCATCATTGGGAAGGGCGGACAGCGAATCAAGCAGATCCGTCACGAGTCGGGAGCGTCTATCAAGATCGACGAGCCACTAGAGGGCTCAGAGGACCGCATCATCACCATCAATGGAACACAGGACCAGATTCAGAACGCCCAGTATCTACTGCAGAACAGGCACGTGCTAGAACCCTTTCCTCGTCTCTGCTGAAAGCAGTATGGTGGAAACCTATTCATGACTAACAAATGAAATCTAGAAATGACTCCTGGGGTCCCTTTATTCACTTGTCTACTGTGTTCTGTTGCAGTGTGAAGCAGTACTCTGGTCGGTTCTTCTAAAGCGGGAAGAGGAGTGAAGGGGAGCCAATCTGCCATGCCCATTCGCGCTCTCTATTCAGAGCCAACATTCCTCTGCTTTGGGTAGTTGTGTGCCTCCCCCCCCGTCATCTAACACGTTTTAATACGTTTGGAAATTCTCTCAAAGCTCCCCCCGTCCCCCCCGTCATCTAACACCATATTTTAATAAGAAGTTAGGAAATTCTCTCAAAGCTGTCGAATGAGTGGATCCCTGTTTTTTTTTTTTGTGCTGCTTGTGTTTTGGGGGTTTTCTTTCTGGATTATTTTGCTGTTCTGTACTTGTAGTAAACTAACCTGTCTGTGTTCACGCTCGGCCTCCCCTGAGCCGCTCCCCCTCCCACTCAGTGCAGAATGTAATCTTGTTTTATAAGGAACATTTAATGATTTAATAACAATAATACATTTAGTTTATTTTAGCATACCCCCCCCCCCCCCCCCACACTGAAAGATAAGGGGCTGTATAAAAATGTTAATGTACAGTAATCGTGTCATAGGATGAGTAAGAGTGCTAAGATTGTTTTATTTTGTTGGGAGACTGGTAGGGCCAAAATAAAAGTATTGTTTTTAAGTTTTCTACCTGATTTCAGCTGTTAAATGGAGAGGGACTTGCTATAACTCCTTCATACATAATAATTGCTATTTGGATCCATTTAGACTGGCTGAAGCCTGTTTTATACATCAGTTTGTAAGCATTTTAAACATTTTAGATGATTTTTGTAGATGCCAGTCTGTTTAGGAGGGGTATGCAGCCTTTCTTTCCATATGAGTGGCATGTCACCCCTGTTAAACTCTACCCCTGTCTGTGGTGTGTAGTGTCTGCTACAAGTCTGAGTAATAAAGTCTGTGCCACTTTTTACTAAACGCGGGGGGCGGGGTTTGTTAATATTCTTCCATATTTCCTAGATGCGATAAATAAAATGGTTGTGATAAAATCAACTTTATATTTTCAGTAAACCATGATTTCGGTATTAAGGAGAAGTTGAGTGTAGCTGTAATGGCAGGCATTTTCTACGACATGTAATGCATTGTGACTAAGTAATACCTAGATAAACCTGATGAACTCTTTAGTATTATCCCTGTTTACCTATTTGCTTATGGTCTTGCCTACGCCTAGCGAACAGTTATTTTTTTTATATTATGTGAGAAACAAAGATTCTATTTTATTTGGAACGGCAAGCCAGACAAAATTAAACTGGTCTATTTATATAATGAATATGAATTCGGAGCACAGAAATGATTAAATATTAAAGCATTAGACCTATCACTAAAAGCTTCAGTCATACAAAAGTTATACTTAAATCCGAACTGGTTCTCTAGCAAATTAGTAAGATTGTCTCACCCCATGTTCAAGAATGGCCTTTTTTCCTTTATTCAGATTACAATTTCTCACTTTCAGTTATTTGAAAAGGAAATAATCTCCCAAACATCACACTTTCTAAAACAAGCCATAGAAAGTTGGTTTCAATTTAATCCTCCAGAAAAGACAGAACAAATAATGCAACAAATATTGTGGTACACCTGCTCTTTCCATGAGACTGACCAGGTGAAAGCTATGATCCCTTATTGATGTCACCTGTTAAATCCACTTCAATCAGTGTAGATCAGGGGTGTCAAACTCATTCCATGGAGGGCCTAGTGTCTGCTGGTTTTTCCTTTCCAGTGGTGTAAAAATGCTTTAGTGTTTTGGGGTGTCGTTACTATACTGAACAAAAATATAAACACAACGATTTTACGGAGTTACAGTTCATATAAGGAAATCAGTCAATTGAAATAAATTAATTAGGCCCTAATCTATGGATTTCACATGATTGGGCAGGAGCGCAGACATGGGAGGGCATAGGCCCACCCACTTGGGAGCTAGGCCCAGCCAATCAGAATTAGTTTTTCCCCACAAAGGGGCTTTATTACAGATAAATACTCCTCAGTTTCATCAGCTGTCCGGGTGGCTGGTCTCAGACGATCCCGCAGGTGAAGAAGCTGGATGTGAAGGTCCTGGGCTGGCGTGGTTACACGTGGTCTGCGGTTGTGAGGCCGGTTGGACATACTGTCAAATTCTCTAAAACAATGTTGGAGGCGGCTTATGGTAGAGAAATTAACATTAAATTATTTGGCAACAGCTCTGGTGGACAATCCTGCAGTCAGCATGCCAATTGCACGCTCCCTTAACACTTGTGGCATTGTGTTGTGTAACAAAACTGCACATTTTAGTGGCCTTTTATTGTCCCCAGCACAAGGTGCACCTGTGTAATGATCATGCTGTTTAATCAGCTTCTTGATATGCCACACCTGTCAGGTGGATGGATTATCTTGGCAAAGGAGAAATGCTTACTAACAGGGACGTAAACAGATTTGTGCAAAACATTTGAGAGAAATAAGCTTTTTGTGCTTATCGAAAATTTCATATACCTTTTATTTCAGCTCATGATACATGGGACCAACACTTTACATGTTGTGCTTATATTTTTGACAACATTTACTCTACTGAATTCCTAAAGAAAATGACTTTTTACTCCCATACATTTTCCCTGACACACAAAAGTCCTTGTTACATTTCGAATGCTTAGCAGGACAGGAAATGGTCCGATTCACTCACTTATCAAGAGGACATGTCATCCCTACTGCCTCTGATCTGGCGGACTCGCTAAAGAAAAATGGTTTGTTTGTAAATGATGTCTGAGTGTTGGAGCCCCTAGCTATCTGTAAATTAAATTGTCTGGTTTGCTTAATATAAGGAATTTGAAATGATTTATTGCTTTTACTTTTAATACTTAAGTATATTTTAGCAATTACATTTACTTTTGATGCTTAAGTATATTTAAAACCAAATACTTTGACTCAAGTAGTATTTTACTGTGTTACTTTCATTTTTTAGTCATTTTCTATTAAGGTATCTTTACTTTTACTCAAGTATGACAATTGTGTACTTTTTCCGCCACTGTTCCTTTCAATTAATACCTAGACAACCAGGTTAGGGGAGTTCCTTACTAATCAGTGACCTTAATTCATCAATCAAGTACAAGGGAGGAGTGAAAACCCGCAGACACTCGGCCCTCCGTGGAATGAGTTTGACACGTGGTGTAGATGAAGGGCTTTCAGACAATTGAGACATGGATTGTGTATCAAATCAAAATCAAATGTTATTGGTCACATACATACAGCTGCGGAAAAAATTAAGAGACCACTGCAAAATTATCAGGTATGTGTAAAGATAAACATTTTGTTTTATTCTATAATCTACTGACAACATTTCTCCCAAATTCCAAATAAAAAATATTGTCATTTAGAGCATTTATTTGCAGAAAATGACAACTGGTCAAAATAACAAAAAAGATGCAGTGTTGTCAGACCTCAAATAATGCAAAGAAAATAAGTTCATGTTCATTTTTAAACAACACAATAGTCATGTTTTAATTTAGGAAGAGTTCAGAAATCAATATTTGGTGGAATAATCCTGATTTTCAATCACAGCTTTCATGCGTCTTGGCATGCTCTACACCAGTCTTTCACATTGATGTTGGGTGACTTTATGCCACTCCTGGCGCAAAAAATTCAAGCAGCTCGGCTTTGTTTGATGGCTTGTGACCATCCACCTTCCTCTTGATCACATTCCAGAAGTTTTCAATGTGGTTCAGGACTGGAGATTGGGCTGGCCATGACAGGGTCTTGATCTGGTGGTCCTCCATCCACACCTTGATTGACCTGGCTGTGTGGCATGGCGCATTGTCCTGCTGGAAAAACCAATCCTCAGCGTTGGGGAACAATGTCAGAGCAAAAGGAAGCACGTTTTCTTCCAGGACAACCTTGTACGTGGCTTGATTCATGCGTCCTTCACAAAGACAAATCTGCCCGATTCCAGCCTTGCTGAAGCAACCCCAGATCATCACCGATCCTCCACCAAATTTCACAGTGGGTGCGAGACACTGGCTTGTAGGCCTGTCCAGGTCTCCGTCTAACCATTAGACGACCAGGCGTTGGGCAAAGCTGAAAATTGGACTCATCAGAGAAGATGACCTTACTCCAGTCCTCTACGGTCCAATCCTTATGGTCTTTTGCAAACCTCAGCCTGGCTCTTTACATTTTACATTTTAGTTATTTAGCAGACGCTCTTATCCAGAGTGACTTACAGTTAGTGAGTGCATACATTTTTCATACTGACCCCCCGTGGGAATCGAACCCACAACCCTGGCGTTGCAAGCGCCATGCTCTACCAACTGAGCTACAGGAGACCTCTTCTTTGCTTCTCATTGATGAAGGGCTTTTTTCTAGCTTTACACGACTTCAGCCCTGCCCCTAGGAGCCTGTTTCGAACCGTCCTCGCCATGCACTTCACTCCAGCTGCCGTTTGCCATTCTTTTTGTAGGTCACTTGATGTCATCCTACAGTTGTTGAGTGACATTCAAATGTGTTGGCGGTCATCCCGGTCAGTAGAGAGTCGTTTTCGCCCTCTGCCGGTCTATAGCTTTGTTGTCCCCAATATCTGCTGCTTAACCTTGTTCTTATGAACCGCCGTCTTTTACATTTTAAGGATGGAAGCAACCTGACGCTCACTGTATCCCTCTGCCAGTAAAGCCAGAATTGAAACCTTCTTTTCCTCACTCAAAACTTTCCTTTTCAACTCTTTTGGCATGGTCAATAGTTATTTTTTGATTAATATTACTTTTGAGGTACTATTAGCACAGTTTTTGCCATCCAGCTGGTCCTATTGCAAGAGGATAGTGATGACCACAGCAGTGGTTTTTATACTTTTCCTCGTTAAATACGATTTGGTTCATGTGATCACCTAATCAGTACCTAACTCAGTAGAATGAGGTGTGCCTGTGTTGGAATTCAACTGACACTGGAATGGAATGGCTG